GTGTGAGAGAGAGAGAGAGAGAGAGAGAGAGAGAGAGAGAGAGAGAGAGAGAGAGAGAGAGAGAGAGAGAGAGGGAGAGAGGGAGAGAGAGAGAGAAAGAGAGAGAGAGAGAGAGAATGTATTTTGTCCAGGAGAGCCAAAGGAATGTTTCCACTATGGGGGACAATAAAGTTTTATTCTATTCTGTTGTTTTGCTTTTTAACATTTTTCTATAAAACTTGCAGATTGGTTCGTTTCTTCTCTTCATATCCAGCAGAGGGCAGTAGAGGCTCAGCTCCTACACCACCAGTGTCATCAGTTCCTTACAAGCCTTTCCTTTTAATCTGACTGGATTCATGCAACCTGATGGATCCTCAGATGAAGAGGCTTCCCCTGGTGGATGTGGAACCACCAGTTTGGACTGAAACAAAGGACACTTTTGTCGAGAGATGATGCGGAAAACTCCAAACTGGAAAAGAAATCTAACAGTTTGTAAAGAAAACTAAATATTAAATGAAAACTTGAGATAATAACACATCATGTGTTTCTGTCTCATTAAATATGTAAAATTATGCAAATGAAGAAAATCAGACTGATACAACTGAGACATCAGCTGCTAGGACGGATTCTGACCTACTTTATTATCCATTTATTAACTAATAGCATCAATAGAGCTAACTGAAATTAAAAATTACAACTTTACTGATGATTTTAATTTCCAAATTAAACCAACGAGATCAAAGTTCAAACCTTAACATGACGACTAGTCCTGCGGCCGGACTACAGAAGGGAATCTGGGCTCCAGTTAGACGGGAAGATCCAAGGACAAGTCAGGAATATTGGCCTAAAGTCATCTCTTCATCTCTTCAAAGGTTTTAATGCATGAGGTACACACTCAGCCTTATTCGTTTCATCAAAGCTTGTTTTATGGATAGTTACATGGTTTTTGAACTGATTTCACAAAATTATAATTCAAACAGCGAGAAAATGACCACATTTTGCCCGGAGCCTTTGAGCAAAGCAAGCAGCTGTAGTAAGAACGTAGAACGTGGCCCCAGGCTTTTAAAATACAACTCTTCTTGTATTTTTCCACACGTAAAATCCAATTGGTCTTTGTCTGAGACTGAAACAATGTTCCTCCTCCAAGCATCTTTTTTCACAAGTGTAATGAGATGGCCTGGCCCAGTAATTGGCAAAATTATTAGTCATTAGTTCCATCAAATGCTAATTAGCTCATATGTTAATTTGTGAGGCCAGATGAAACCCATCACCCAGTTGTGTGTAATTAGTGTGTAGTTCCTGTGCAACGTGTGGAGTCCTAAACGGCAAAAGGGAGGCGCTGAAGACTAATTAGAAACATCTCACAAGAAGTATTTCTACTTTAATTACAGCATTTTGTGTCTCGATACTTCTCCTTTTTCCCTCAACTGGCTCGTGTCAGAGGAGGACATCAGAAACCAACAAGGAGCCCAACTGCTGCTTAATCAAAGACGTGGCTCCTTATTTGCATTTCTAATTGGAGTTAATTAGAATTTCCCAAATACTGCACATGCATGTGTGTGTGTGTGTGTGTGTACTGTATGGGTGACAGGAGTCTCTGATGTCCTCACACTCCCCTGCTGTGGTCGTCTGGCGACTTTAACTCAACAAAGAGGAAATGTCAAGAATTTGCAGTTTTCACCAGGGAGCAAAGTCACTCGTCATTCTCGCAAACTCGTTAGCATAAAGCATGATTCAACAGCAGTAATTATAAAGCAATTAGATAATTTACTTAAATACTTTTTATTATATAATTGTATTTATTTGGGTTTGAGTTGAAGACACCATCATACGCCTGCCTTCATAAAGCAGGTCGCAGCTTCATGTTTTATTTCTAGAGTTTTTAACACAACCCATTTTGATTTATTACCTAGAAACTCCAGAAGACAGGTGGACACCTCCACCATCACGCGGCTTAATGACTTCCTAACAAACAGACCAGAGTGTGAGACTGAAGGGTTGTGCAGTGCAGGAGCACCACAGGGAACGGTACTCTCACCACTCATTTTTTCTCCGTACATCCCAGACTTTCAGTCAGCAGGAATATTCAGATGACTCAGCAGTTGCTGGGGCGACGGTGGCACAGGAGTTAAGTGCTCGCCCCGTAATCGGAAGGTTGCTGGTTCGTGTTCCGCTCAGTCTGTCGCTGTCGTTGTGTCCTTGGGCAAGACACTTAACCCACGTTGCCTGCTGGTGGTGGTCGGAGGGACTGGTTGCGCCAGTGCTCGGCAGCCTCGCCTCTGTCAGTGCGCCCCAGGGCAGCTGTGGCTACATCGTAGCTCATCCCCACCAGTGTGTGAATGTGTGTGTGAATGGGTGAATGACTGATTGTGTTGTAAAGCGCCTTGGGGGGCTCTAGGACTCTAGAAGGCGCTATATCAAATACAGGCCATTTACCATGCCATTTGCCATATGAGAGATGGACAGGAGGCCAAGTACAGTTACCTGCTGGGCTGCTTTGTGGAACGGTGGGGCAACAATCATCTTAAATGTAAATGAAACAAAGGAGAAGATTGTGGATTGTAGAAGAAGCAGAAGTTCCAAGATGCGGGGGTGGTGGAGGAAAATAAACACCTGTGTTCACCTGGACTGGAGATACAGTGAAGCTGCTGTAAGAAGGGACGGGGCAGGCTGGATTTGTTGAGTGTTCCACATCTTCAATCGTTTGCGGTGATCTGAATCCTCTCTTGGGGATGCTTCACCAGTCAGTGACTGCAAAGATAAAGGCTGGCTCTGATACGGGTACAACTCTGGTTCCTCTAGAGGGGACTGGACAAAGGCGGAAAAGGGACAAACACGATGGAGAACCACGATCGTCCTCTTCACAAGACAAAAATTAAATTTTCATGTTTGTGCAGTTTATTTAGAACTGAAATGGTCTCGAAGTGACAAACGAAGCTACACATCTCCATCATACCAGGTCCAGATGGTCCAGATTCAGCCTTAATAAACTCAGATTCAGTAGAACGGTCTCTAAATAAAGGAACCAGCAGACTGAAGTGGACCGGGAACACCTTGGTGGAGAGGGTCACTGGGGAGGCCTGCTCTCCTAGAGCGGACCTCAGCTGAAGCGGTCTTCACTGAACTCCCATGTACAGCTGTGAAGTTCCCACAGCAGCTGGAAGGAAACATTCTCAGGGGCTGCTTCAGAAGTGTCCCCGTGACGGACTGGAGACCTGTCCAGGGTGATCCGGACAGCAGCTCCTGAGACGATGACTGACTTCTCGTATGAAGGCTCAAACAAAAACACGGCATTTCTCATCAGGTTTGAGTAGAGCCGAGTATTTAGAACATGACCTTGGTTCCTGCCGCCTCCAATTCTCTTTGAGGAAGCTTTTGAGGGCAGAACCGCAGGCAGCACATCCAGCTCCTCCCCCACATGACCCCCCGGGCGATCTGACAGCCAGCAATTAGAACTTTACCAGTAACTACCCCAGACCCTCATTACCAGTTAATTAAACCAAGTCTATCAGGAATTATCCGCTTCAGCTTCAGAAGAACTCCTCCAGGAGCGCGTTGAGGAGCGAGCCAGACCTCCTGAGTGGAACCCCGACAGGCCTACGGAGCTAGAACCAGCAGTTCTTTTCACCTGCTGATCCTTTCCAACAGACCGACTGATTAATGAGACGTTCTACACAAACCAATCTTCAGCTTTATTTTAAAAACAAGTGTTCAAAGTGAATTTACATATTTTTTAACAACACCGTACGTATTTATCATTTCATTAGTCAACAGTTTCATAAAAATAACATTTATTTCTTCTCAAACTGGTAATAAAATCTACAAAAGGACAGGAACGCCTTGCAGAGAAATGTCTGATGATGTCGAGCCGACTTCCTCGTCGTGTCATCAGGTGAACTTATATGTGTGACTATTAAGGAATCAGACCTGTGACGTGTACCCCCCCCCCCCCCTGCAGCAGAGGGTTAGCTAACAAACACTTCTGATGACACCAGTAAAATAAAACTGTTAGCTCTTCTGAAGGAAAGGATATGATTCATAGTCGAGTTTCTGCGTGAGAACTCCGGTCAGAATAAACTCGGCATTGTGGACGTCTGCGGACACAGAAGACAGAAAACATCAGAGCTTCGCAGCGACTCAGGAGGGCGGGGTTTGCCAGCGTAGCTACAGAAGCTTCAGCTCTCATCATACCACCTGTTCATTATTCCAGGGTATCTGCAGGTTTAAGGGAGCCAAATTTAAGACTTTTTAACACCCTTTTTAAGGCCACTTTGACCAAATTTAAGCTATTTTTTAAATTAAATTTAAGCTATAATTTCCAGCTATTGCCTGGAACCGGTGCTAACCACGTCGCGAACGTAGGATTAGCCATCCAGTTACCATTAAACTTGCACTTTCCCATGGTGCAAGCTCCCACTAGCTTAACCAGCTAATGTGCTCATCTAAAAATAGCCCCCTTTCACAACCAGCTGAACGTGTACGGTTCCGCTTACGCCAACATCGTACGCAAAAAATGCTGAACACTAAGTAGAAATTCATGAAAATTTTATAGAAATAAAATTATTTTGTTTATTGGTTTTTTTGGTGATTTAAGACCTTTGGAAACTGCATTTAAGGATTATTTGTCATTTTTAAAGAGCAAGTCACCCCCTACCAGAGTCTAACTCCACTCCCACTTCATGTTTGAAAAATGCAACAAATGCTGTTGCCTGGCAGACCGAGAGGGCGGAGCCGCTAACAAATACACACACACAGGCTCAAAACAGCATTGTGACATCATAATGTACCAGTTTACATCATAGCATACCTCTTAGCCAGTAGCGGTGGCAGATTTAAACTCAAATGCAGTGCAGAGTTTTTACCTGACAACGGCACAACACTGCCAGTTTTAGGCAGAATATTTAAATTTTAACTAAGATGCACTGAAGTGCCAAATTATTGACGACACGTGTCTGCAGCACGATTAGACACTCCTTTATTTGGTTTATCAGCAAAAAAAAGTTGATTTGGGGGTGACTTGCTCTTTAAGGATTTTTAAGGCCTTAAATTTAGAAAAGCAAATTAAAGACTTTTTAAGGACCCGCGGATACCCTGTTGTTCTTCTGCTTCTGCATGAATTATAGGACAAATATTCCTTTAGGTGTCATTTTGGGTGTTTATTCCTGGAGCTCGTCTAAAGTGTTTCCACTTCAGGAGTTACAGGAAATTCAGGGAGAGGGGAAAGCGTCCACGGTCATTAACAACATTAAAGGTTTTATTTTGTCAGAGTATGTAATTCAATCTATTCTAGAGACCAGGAGAGCAGCTGTGGGATGTAAAAAGACACATGCAATGACCAGAAGAAGCCCCGTTTTTCACCTGGGAGTTCTGGAGGTGGAAACGGGCCTTTAGTGTTTCATGACCCACCACGGGGTCGCAACCCAACCTTTGGGCACCACGTTTAGAGGCTCATGTGCATCAACAGTTATTAACAGGACAGATGGTCCCATAATCAGCTAACTACTGTGTGTGTGTGTGTGTGTGTGTGTGTGTGTGTGTGTCTCACCAATGTTTCTCATGAAGTATTCTCGACACAAGTGCAGGTCATTGTCACAGGAAACCAGGATGATCTCAGGAAGGTTCTGCAACACAACCAGGAAGTATTTAGAAATGGGGTTTCTCAAACACTTGCATGTTTTTCCTCTGGGTCATGATTGTGGCCAATAAATAATTCTTGTACAATCTGCTCTTTAACTGTATTATTTTCTGCTATTTCAGCTGTTAACTTTATTTTCTCTCTAAGTGTTTTTCTCCCCAGAAGAAGCTACAATGATGCTCTGCTGAGCTGTGGTGGCCTCATGGAGGGGGCCATCGTCTAGCACACTGCTGCTAACCACTTAAACATTCTCCCTCTCCTGATAATAACATTTTACTTTCCTTGACGTTGGATGTGCTACTACTATATTTACTAAGAAGTTACAATGTAACCATAGACACATTACTTTGTGCGTGTGTGCGTGCGTGCGTGTGCTCTGTCTTCTCCATCCCCAGTGAGTCGTGGAGGATGGCTGCTTATACTGAGCCAGGATTCTCTGGAGGTTCCTTCCTGTTAAAAGGGAGTTTTCCTCTCCACTGTCGCTGCATGCTTGCTTAGTATGAGGATTGCTGTATAGTCACTGACACTCGTCAGTGACTTGATGCAATTTGCAGGGTTCCTTATATAGGAAACATTATTTCTGATTGGCTTAATGAACTGACCTGAATTGGAATGTTTATTATGTGAAGTGCCTTGAGACGACTCTTGTCGTGATTTGGCGCTATATAAATAAACTTGAATGGAATTGAATAAATAAATAAATAAATAAACAAACAAACATGACCTAAACATACAGATGAACAAGATCTCAGCAGTGGTGCTTTATGAAAAACGACCTGGTTCCCTGTTTGTTTTGAAGCCGACGTTGCTTGAGCTACATCAGAGCACCTTGTTCTGTTTGTGCTCCATGATCTTCCTGTATGAAGGCTGCTTGGCCAGCAGCTTCCCTCCAGCACTCTCCAAGATGGCCTTCATGGTGCTGAGGCTCGGGCAGATGCCAGGAGTGAGGTAGAAGTACTTCCCCTTCATCACATGAGACAGAGACAACATCTGCTTAACATCTCCGTACAGACGCTTCACGCTCTGCTGACCTGTGTTCCTGGTCATCTAAGTTCTGGAAGGTCAATCAAACCATCCATTCTTGTAGGCCAACAAAGCGACCCCTGATTCTGTTTATTCACCAAGTTAGAGATCCTTTATAAAAGTGAGAAGACTCCACTCAAACCAGAGCAGTATCTGTTATCGGTATTAGCCCCGCCCACTGACTTCAACAGCCACGGCTAACGGGCACAAAAGCTAATTCATGACTCAGAGCAACAGAAAATCCATCATGAAATAATGTTATAAGGGTTTTATGAAGGAAACAAACATTTATAATTATTAACACATCACGGGTAAACACTGTCAGTATAAACGCCTTAGCAGGAGAAACACAGCAGAAAGAGCTAACTGGCATTAGCAACTATCTGACAGAAACTTGGACGCTCCACCGGTGCTTTACTCTGATCAGATCGTCTGATTTCACAGGAAAAGAAAAACATAAACTAATGAATTTATTTGCTAAAAGACTTTATTTACTTTGAAGAGCAGAGCATCGTGGGCTTTCTTCAGGGCCTCTTCCAGACTGAAGCCAAACAACACCTCTGCTTCAGCATCCCTCAAGGTATAGGGCACCTCATCTGTAAAACACACACACACACACACGCACGCACACCAGGTAAGACTAAAGCTGGTGTGATGCTGGTACGCAGCAGGCAGAAACACACACACCTACAAACTTCTGGCTCCTCCAGCTCTCCTCCAGCCACTCAGGAGTGATGATGTATTTGACCCGAGACATGGCAGTGAGGAACTTGATGGTTCGAGTCACCTTGGTGGCCATGAGATGAGTGGCTTTCTGACTGCTGTCGGCCACATCGCCACCTAGAGCGTACAGCCTCTACGGGGGAGGTGGGTGAGGATCTCATGTGAACACATGAGGAGTGACGGGTTTATTTCTGTGACGAGTCTGGCTTTACCTTTGTGTACTGCTGTACTTGCATGGGCTCAAAGCCTGTGAACATGACTTGGGGGGCAGACTCTGGATGAATCCTCTTACTAGGGGACTGGATCTCTTCCATTCTGTGTTCCAGCAACACACACACACACACACACACACACACACACACACACACACACACACACACACACACACACACACACACACACACACACACACACGGTTTCATGACGAGACCACGCCTTCTCCTTGAAGAGGAAGAAGATTTGTTAACTCACCTGGCCTTCTTGTTTGCAGGTGCGTTGGTGGAATCAGAAATCTTCTGCCTCTGTAGGAGCTGGAGGTTCTACACCAGACAAAACATCATTAGTTACAGGAAGAACTGAAACATTCTACGCTGTTTAGCAGGACAGCAGCTGGTCCAAGCCAGGTGATTGGTCTAGGCTATCATCCTGTCTGAAGAAGGCTTTCAGGTGTGTCAAAAGGGCCTAAAGGTTGGTTTATGCTTGACGCGTCCGCGAGGTCCGCACGGCAAATTGCATAATTTTAACAACCACGCCCCTCCACCGCGCCTCCGCACGGCCCAATTTCCGCACCGCGCACCTAGGAAATTTTTTAACCACGCAGACGGTCGGACACAGAAAAACATGGCCGACTGGCAAGAACTAGTACGGCAGAGGTTCGTTAATACAGACATTTGTATGATTCAGCTCTCAGAGATCACCGTGATCAACATGTTGTTAATAATTCTTGGAGAGAAATAGCTCGCACTGTCGGAAAAGACGAGGACGCTGTTAAAAATGCTGGAATGCCATGTTGTAAACAGTAACTTTTACTTCTACTATGGTGTAGTGTTGGATGCATGCCGTAGAGCTCCATGCTGCCCCCTACAGTTTGGGAGAATATTGGCTCACCGCAGAGACAAGCCGCACAAACCATAAACGATGCGAGTTGTGAAGCGCGTTCCATCCGCGAGCCGCATCACCAAGCGGAAAGTAAATGCGTCAAGCATAAACCAAGCCTTACACACTCCATGGACGTAATTTTGGGGGGGGGACAGGGGGGACATGTCCCCCCCACTTTTTCCAAAGTCAAGTTTTGACCCCTGCACTTTTACCATCCAAAAACAATATTACGCTATATTAAATTAACACTGGTTGAGCTCTAGGACCAAGCAGAAAACAACCGTTTGTGTTGAAGCCTGTTTCCCATTAGAGCATACTGTAAAGACCCCCGTGTCCCCCCCCCCCCCCGTGTCCCCCCCACTTCTAAAGTGAAAATTGCATCCATGACACACTCACATATACCGTTACACAAACATGAAACAATGAATTCTGTGTTTAATGAACAAACTGCACACAACCCTTTGGCCAGTAGTGCCCTTACACTCAGTTATGGCGCTTTTACACGTTGGTCAAGTTGGCCTCAGCCAGGCCGGGCGGGGACAATCCTTCCCCACACGGCTCGGTTGTGTTTACACGCTTTCTCAGGATGTGGCTGAGCACGAAGGCAGGTCCGCTACAAAGGCAAGGAACGTGTGCAGTGTTGCTTTTGTAGACGAACAACACGCGCATGACCCCACCCGGTTCAGAACGAGCCGACTCTGATGCAAATGCCCTAGTAGGCTGTTTTATTACAGTGGGGGGTTGATAATGAATAAACTGGTTTGGGATTTCATTTGTTAATACTGCCTCCACGTTCTTTCACAGACACACAAGTGAGCTGAAAGGCGTTCTGTACCTTGCCCAAAAGCTCATGGACATGTGTGGAGAACAGTCACATGTTCAGGTGGTGCTCTTTTGTTATGATGTTGTAAAAAGACTCACCGACAGAGCTTCAGAAGTCACCTTGACTGGACTTCTCCACGCAGCTAGAGGAAAACAACACAAAGTCAAAATTATCACAAACACGCGCACACACACACACACACACACACACACACACACACACACACACACACACACACACACACACACACACACACACACAGCCCTACAGCTTAATAATGTCCGTGAATACTGAAGATTTCATTCAATAGATTGCCTGAATGTGAGACATAAATTCCTGCAACACAGTTGATAAACCTTCATATTGTGTTGAAATAATATCCATGTGTAATAATGCTCATGTGCAATACTGTTTATGTATAATACTGTGTGATAACATCAATGTGTAATAACGTTCGTGTGTAATACTGTGCATGTGTAATAACACTCAGATGTGTAATAAAGTTCATGTGTAATACAGTCTGTGTGTAATAACATCAGTGTGTAATAATGTTCAAGTGTAATGACGGCCATGTGTAAAAACGCTCATGTGTAATAACATTCATGTGTATTAATGCCCATGTGTAAGAACATCCATGTGCAATAATGCTCATGTGTAATAAAGTTTATGTATAATGACATTCATGTTTATTAAAGTTCATGTGTAAGAACATCCATGTGTAATAACGTCCGTGTGTAATAACATCTGTGTGTAATAATGTCCATGTGTAATAATGTTAAAGTCTAATAATGTCCATGTGTAATACTGTTCATGTGTAATGACATTCATGTGTAAAAACGCTGATGTGTAATAACATTCCTATGTATTAACATCCATGTGTACGATTGTCCATGTGTAATAACGCTTATGTGTAATTAAGTTCATATGTAATAACATTCATGTGTAAGAACATCCATGTGTAATAATGTCCGTGTGTAATAACATCTGTGTGTAATAATGTCCATGTGTAAAAATGTTAAAGTCTAATAATGTCCATGTGTAATACTGTTCATGTGTAATGACATTCATGTGTAAAAACGCTGATGTGTATTAACATTCCTATGTACTAACATCCATGTGTACGACTGTCAATGCGTAATAACGCTTATGTGTAATTAAGTTCATATGTAATAACATTCATGTGTAAGAACATCCATGTGTAATAACGTCGATGCGTAATTACATTCATGTGTAACAACGTCTATGTGTAATATTGTCAATGTGTAATAACATCCATGTGTAATAACGCCCATGTGTAATAACGTCCACGTGTAAGAACGCCCATGTGTAATAACGCTTGTGTGTAATTAAGTTTATGTGTAATGACATTCATGTGTAATATTGTCCATGTGTAATAACGCTTGTGTGTAATTAAGTTTATGTGTAATGACATTCATGTGTAATATTGTCCATGTGTAATAACGCTTGTGTGTAATTAAGTTTATGTGTAATGACATTCATGTGTAATATTGTCCATGTGTAATAACGCTTGTGTGTAATTAAGTTTATGTGTAATGACATTCATGTGTAATATTGTCCATGTGTAATAACGCTTGTGTGTAATTAAGTTTATGTGTAATGACATTCATGTGTAATATTGTCCATGTGTAATAACGCTTGTGTGTAATTAAGTTTATGTGTAATGACATTCATGTGTAATATTGTCCATGTGTAATAACGCTTGTGTGTAATTAAGTTTATGTGTAATGACATTCATGTGTAATATTGTCCATGTGCAATAACGCTTGTGTGTAATTAAGTTTATGTGTAATGACATTCATGTGTAATATTGTCCATGTGTAATAACCAGTGCTGGGAAAGTTTGTTTTAAAAACAAACTTCATACATTCAGTTCATAAATCATTAAACAAATTTGAACCGAGTTCACTGTTCCAAAAACGTCCATAAAACTACTCCATAGTTTTTTTCCCCCTAATAAACACTGTGACTAGTGTTTTCAGGTTGGAGTTTCACCCAGTTCATTTCCGTTTATTTCATACTCGGAATTGTAATCTTCTGAGTATGAAATGAATGAACGGGAAAAGCCCCCAAAATCAGAGAATGTTTTTTAAGCCAGTTTCGAGGTTCAATTTAGCAGCTCCTTGTAATAACAGTAGCTGTGGTGGAAAAGTGTTTGTTTTACTAGATAAACTTTTAAGCGTGCATCAAAAATCGGTGTTATGTACAGTTGTATATTTTCCGAGGTGAAAGGAACGCACCATGAAATCCATCGCTGAACTTGCAGCTTTTTCCCTGTTTTTCTGCGTCTGGTTTGATGACGTCACTTTGGTTATGTGTAATAATGTAAATGTGTAAAGACATTCATGTATAATAATCACTCTAAACACAGCAGTAAAATAGTTTAGCTTGATTCTTGTTGAGAACGGTTAGTGACTCAAATTTCCCTCTGGGATTAATAAAGTATTTTTGAATTGAATTTCCTCCTGAAGATGATGCTTTTGCTGCAGCAGCCAAGATAAAAACTAATCAGCAGCACTAAAACACAAAGTGAAACAAAAGGTGACTGTGGAGCAGACGGCATTAGAAATCCAGGCTGTCCAGCAGAACAGGGGAAAGGGGAAACAGCAGCTGTCCTAGTCTGCAGGACAAACTCCGGTCCCCAAGGGTCTCTGTCCTGCATGAGCCACAAACCCTGAGTAGTGGTGTAGCAGTACACTTATTTGTGACCTTTGCAACCTTCATTCACCAACATCTGGCTTGGGTGTTGTGTGTGAGTGTGCGTGCGTGTGTGTGTGTGTGTGTGTAACAAGTTCGCCCTGCTTGTTGATATCAGAAACTGCGGGCGTAACTTCCGGGCGTAAGACATATTTGGAGTTTTTCTCCCCTGTCATACCAAAGCCTATGTGAGGTCTGAAGCTCTACTATCCGTTTCTAAGAAGAGGAAAATGTAATGAGCAGGGTATCTGCAGGTTAAAGGGAGCCAAATTTAAGACTTTTGAAGACCTTTTTTAAGGCCACTTTGACCAAATTTAAGCTATAATTTCCAGCTATTGCCTGGAACCGGTGCTAACCACGTCACGAACGTGGGATTAGCCATCCACACATAACTTCCACTTCCCCATGGCGCAAGCTCCCACTAGCTTAACCAGCTAATGTGCTCATCTAAAAATAGCCCCCTTTCACAACCAACTGAACGTGCACGGTTCCGCTTACGCCAACATCGTACACAAAAAAGCTGAACACTAAGTAGAAAATCACAAAAATTTAATAGAAATAAAATAATCTCTTTTATTGGGTCTTTGGTAATTTAAGACCTTTGGAAACTGTATTGAAGGATTATTAGTCATTTTGAAGGATTTTTAAGGCCTTAAACTTGGAAAAGCTAATTTAAGACTTTTTAAGGACCCGTGGATACCCTGAATGAGAAGCTTTTCTCCCAAATCCCAGACACAGTGGACCCATTGTTACAGCTCCCATGCCCGATTTTTGAAACCAACCGGATGACTTTAGGAGGCCAGTGCGATCTGGCTAGTATACACACCCAGCAGATTGTGGACCAGCTGCGGATTAGGTGCCAGCGGCTCGGGGTGAGTGAAAATCGAGTATCTGCTGTGCTGAATCTGTCGCAGCGCTTCAAAGTTGCCCAGCAGAATGTCACACAGCCACTGGGCGTTGACGCACGGGATCTTCCACTCCTTGGCCTTCTCGTATTTCAGCCCACTGGATCTAAGGGAATAAGCACACAGCAAAATGAGAGCAGCAGCAGATGTGTGGACAAACTCCACTATCTCAGTCTTACTCTTTGCAAATGAGGACAGTGTTACTGCGGCACAAATATCCCGTGTATCTGGCACCAGCCAGGTAAGTCATCAGCTTCAGATCGTCCCTGTCAGCATCCACAAAGCCAGTCACTGAAATAATCTGAAAGAAGAGACACGAGGACAGCAATGACACACAGAGACATAGAGAGGACACCCCCCAGAGCTTGTGTTGATCAGGTCAGCTTGTGAGAAACACGTCAGAATTCCCTAAAGACCAATGAGGCGTCTGCAATCATAAATAAAGGTTCTGTGGGTCTGAGGTCTGGTTTTCTAGGTGTGTGTGTGGGAAAACAAGGGTAACGAGAACAAAGCTTTTCATGGCTGGTGTCTCAATGTTTGAATCAGCAGATTTCTAAGTGCAAAGTAAAGCTACAGAAGTTAAACGTACGTGCTGAGAGCAGGGTTTGGCCCCCGGAGGGAAAGCAAAGGGCAGATGTAACGTTCGACGAGGAGGGACCATCTTCTTCTTCTTAAGCACCGTGCTGAGCCAGTGGGCCGTCACACAGCGCTTCCCTTCCCGAAGGGCCTGAAGACAAAAAACATGCCAGTACAGACTAACCTGCTTCTAACACCCACAACTTTTGAAGCTTTTTCCATCAAACAGCCTTTATGTCACATATTAGCTGACTCTTGTTTGATTAGCATAATAAACTCACCGCTACAGGTGTGTGTGCTCACTTACCTGTACATACATGTTGCTGACCTGACTCTCACACAACAGGTGAGTGCAGCGGCTGGTCAGGGTGGGGTCAACGACACCTCCACATGCCTGGATGACCTGAGGGACAACGAGACCCAGTAAATCCCATCAGGACAGAGACAAAAAGAGCTAGCATTAGCCTCACGTTGGCTAGCACTGTTGATGCTTTGATAATTTAGCAGAGCGACCCGGGTAGGGTCCCAGATGTCTGAATCGCTTTCTTCCAGTCATCACCCACACCTCATGACCGGGGGGGGGGGGGGCTTTCACAATAACAGATCAGTCTAGAGTCCACATCACATGACACGCTGCACCAGTCTACCTGAAAGTCCTTCCCAGCACTCTTACTATGCCTTATGGTTCTTACCCTCTTCCACGTGGCTAGGAGTTGTTTATCAGCCATCTGTTCTGGGTAGTCGGCAACAGCAAACACACAGCCCAGCAGAAAGCCGTCCTGTGGAACTGAGAATAGACATCAGCTTAGGTTTTACCCTAAATCAGGGATTCCCTAATGGGCCATTCTCATCTGTACCGGGTCGGCCCGGGCCGGGTAGCGTAGGTTGTTTACATATCTGGGTGGCCTGGTATTTTTCCGGGCCAACCAAGGCTCATTCTCAGCCCTCTTCTCGAGGGGGTCTGCTTCAGGCCGACCAGGGCCAACACACCCACTGCTGACAGCAAATTCACACCTTCCATTAGAGCAAGCCTCTGATTGGTGGGTAGAATCAGTCCACATGGGCTTAAGGCAAGGATGTGTGGAGTCAACCGGGCCAGGCTGGGGCCGACTGGAGCTACCCGGCCCGGGCCGACCCGGTACAGATGGGAATGGCCCATAAGTGTGCTGCCGCTAGGGGGTGCGCGAGATGAAAAGTGTAATGGCTGCGGAGCTCAGAGAAGTCTGTCAGATGTCACCATTAGCGTAGCCAGAAACTCATTTGTGGGTGGGCCTAAGAAAAAGTAAGTGGGGCCAATAAATGTAATTGATAACAAGTATATTTTGCTTGTGTGTGTGTGTGTGCGTGCGTGCGTGCGTGTGTGTCCTCCGCATGTGCCCTAGCTTCATAATAATAATGCGCTCCGAGCTTCAGCGCTCTGGCCTGCGCACGCCGATATGTTCCGTATTTGATCATTTTTAACGATGTTGGAGGAATCTGAAGGTGAGTCATTCTGGCAGATGGTAATTAACACCTGTCTCATGCAGGTGTTCTGACGTTGTAAACCTCACACACAGAACATTGTGGATGTAACTAAATAAATCAAGAAATGATTCCCATCTGAGCATTTTAGCATTATTATATTATTATACTAGCACACTGACTGTGGGACAGCATTCTAAACGTGTCAGGCTATTAACAGCGCGCTGAAGACCTGAAGTTCAATTCAATTCAAGTTTATTTATATAGCGCCAAATCACGACAAGAGTCGTCTCAAGGCACTTCACATAATAAACATTCCAATTCACAGTTCATTAAGCCAATCAGAAATAATGTGTCCTATATAAGGAACCCACCAAATTGCATCAAGTCACTGACTAGTGTCAGTGACTTTACAGCAATCCTCATACTAAGCAAGCATATAGCGACAGTGGAGAGGAAAACTCCCTTTTAACAGGAAGAAACCTCCAGAGAACCCTGGCTCAGTATAAGCAGCCATCCTCCACGACTCAGAGTGCGTCTGTCAGAGGTCAGATGCGTTCCAACTGAACCACGGCTCACGGGTGCACATGTGAGCACATCTGGGCTGGGCAGAAATAATTTTACAACATTGGTTTAAATAGCGCCAATAACGAGACGCGGTGACTGGAGCGGCTCATGGAGCTGTGCCGCACACACACACACACAGATTCAATAAGCGCACGCTACGCAAACTCCGGCGCGGCGGTCGTCAGACTGAAGGCAGAAATGAGCGCTGCCTCCTCCATGATAAAAAAACTTTTAAGAGGATTAATAACATTTTTCATTCAAGGTCAGATTAACATATTAGCTTCGATTTTGGGATGACGTATTAAAATCGAGCCAGTGACTCCTCACGAACATGACTACATCTCATGTTACTGCAGCATTTGTAATTCCAGTCCGCGTGGCAGCGGATCGCAGCTTCAGCCACACCATAAAACAGCAATAAGTCGGTCTGAGGTAAAAGTGAACCTCATGGCTATATCTTTTCCATCTTTTCCCCTATAGACATTTGATTACGCACAAGTAGGTGATCAGCTCAGGTTTAAGCAGAGCAGAAGGAAGGAGAGCGCTCTGGCCGCACAGGTTAAACGTTCCTACTTTAAGAAAACCGTTAAACTGCATTGTTTATGTGCTACCTGGGCACTCTAAATATTTATTTAAAATGAAATCAAAGGAAATTGTAATGGTATCGAATGTTTATTAATTACTATTTAAAAAAAGAAAGTGATGGGGAAAAAGATTGATCATATTTTTTTAACCCTTTCTGTCGAGTGACTGTTTAGCTTGATGTCTGATATGTATATATATATATACATATACTGTACATATATAAAAATATATATGTACAGTATATGTATATATAAATACATATACTGTACATATATATATATATATATATATGTACATTATATATATATACATATATATATACATATACTGTACATATATATATATATATGTACAGTATATGTATATATATATATATATATATGTATATACATATACATATATATATACATATATATATATACATATACATATATATATGTGTATATGTATATATGTGTATATATATATATATACATATACACATATATATATACATATATATATATATATATATATATATATATATATATATATATATATATATATATATATATATATACATATACATATATATATCCATGCCCTGATGTGGGGGCTGGGGGGTGCGTCGACATGGTCGGGACATAGGAGGGGGTGCGCGGCTAAATAAGTTTGGGAACCACTGGCCTAAATCAATAAACTGGACAAATAAAACGCAGGGTAGCCTGAAATGATGGCACTACTGTACTCACTGTCTTGTCCCGGCTCGTGCCCAAACAGCTGGGAGATGTGGGGCGGCTGCTGGAGCTGAGGGGGCAGTGCTGTCGTCTGCTGTTGGTGAGGGACTACCTGCTGATTCTGATGCTGCAGAACCTGCTTCTGCATCTGCTGCTGTTGCAGGAAATGTTGCTGCTGCTGCTGCTGCTGCTGCTGCTGAAGATGCTGTTGATGCAGTTGCTGCTGATTCTGTTGCTGTAACATGTGCATGCGCTGCTGCTGGTACTGCTGAAGCTGCTGCAACTGCTGGAGACCTGGTCGTAGCAGCTGCTGTGGGCGCAGCTGCTGAGAGAACATCTGGTGTTGATGCATTTGCTGCTGTTGCTGCTGCTGCTGCTGAAGAAACTGTTGTTGCTGTTGAGGCAACTGTGGGAAACCCTGTTGCGCAACCTGTGGCTGTTGCTGCTGAAGCTGCATCATATCGTGCTGCTGCAGGTGCATCATGGGATGCTGTGGTACCTGCTGATGCTGTTGGGCAGGTTGGTGTGGCTGCTGCATGAGCTGATGCTGCCTCTCCGTTGTGAGGGTCTGTGCAGCCACTTTGGTCTGGTTGAACAGAGGGTTGTTACTGTTAGGGGTCTGAGCATGGTTTGGGTTCATCTGCTCCAAAGGCTTTGTCTGACTACTGGTCAGGTTCGGCATTATCTGGAAAAAGTGAGGAAGAACACACGTTTAGCTAAAGAAAGACTACAATCTTCTGTGGAAGGTTAAAGGACTTTACTACCCTGACCGGTAACTGTGTGCAGTTTCTGCTCCCGTAACTTTACGGAGGAACGTGTAATAAAGGACATCTGAGTTGAAGAATTGCTTTATCTATGTTCACAACCTGAAAAACAGCTGATAGGATGTAAGAAATGAGAAATAACTAACATGGATGTCTTATTTTAAATCTGACCATTAAAAATCTGCTTCTTCTGACTTCTAACTTTGATGTCTTAAAGCGACACTAGAGACTTGTAACGCTTTAGGCTGTTGCTTTTAATCTGGTTTCGATGATTCTGAAACCAGAAACTTGACCAACTTCACATGGAACAGCAGTCTGTAGCCCTCTGCTGCTAACAGATTTGTAGTTCTAGCTGTTTACTGTGCTGGTAGCTGATACAAAGCTATTAGCTATTTTTAATTGGCATTATGGTGGAGCCTGGAAGTAAAAATAAGAAAATCGGAGTGAACATCTGCGCAGAATCGTTTATGTCCGCATCGCAATGCATCGATTATTTGATTATTTTCCTCAGCTCTAGACAAAATCACACAAACGGATCAGTGAACAGTAATCCCTCGTTTATCGCGGTAGATGCGTTCCAGACCTGGCCGCGATAGGTGAAAATCTGCGAAGTAGGGACTCCCAGCATGCCCCTCGCAGGGATTCCCTCCACGTCGCACCTACGTCACAAACCGCGGCTATAAACGGAAGTCGCCTTTCCAGCTCACCACTCAGTCATCGTTTCTTCAGATTCATGATCAGAGTTTCCAACCTACCGATCAATCCAACGAACTATCAGCTCATAGTAAGTTATCGTACTTACTTCTGGAAAGCCCGGCATTTCCGTGTCACTTCGTTGACGCTCGAACGCTCGGGGGCTTCCTAGATCAGCCGGCGTTTCACCGACGCTATCACTTCCGCGTCTGTGAAACCACGCTCCCTACAAGCTCAGCTCCCGAATCCAGCCGCCCTGTCTGACATACAGTACTATATTGAATTATCGTATGATCACATTCTCTTTTTGTGGGTAAAACTCAAGAAAAAAATTTTTTTTACTTGTTTTTTTTAGTTTTATTACAAAAAGTGCATTTTATGATGAAATTGATGAAAAAAAAAAACAAGAATTTCTTGATATTTCGCATAGAAAAATACCGCGAATCAGTGAAAAATACCGCGAATCTGCGAATTCCCCCTGAAAAATGCTCCAAAGAAAAAATCCGCGAAGCAGCGAATCCGCGATGAACGAACCGCGAAGTAGCGAGGGATTACTGAACAGCGTAAGGTAACCTGTGTGCCCCACAGAAACACAACTCAGTTGAAAAATGGTGGTGTTGCTGGACATTTTGCTCAGTTTTATGGATTTTTGTCAGACTCTGAACCAGGAAATGGCTGCAGGCAGTGAAACACAAAACTCCGGGGCAACCAGTGACTCCGCCCCCTAGCCAATCAGTGACCAGAATCACAAGCCGGCCCGACTCAGCCTTGCCAGGTACGTCAATGGCGTAGGGACTAAAAGTAGAGGAGAAAGTAGAGGGAAAGTACCGAATCGTGCCCTTGAGAACAGTGGACAGGCCGACCCGCATCGGTCTGAGTTACTCTGAGTAGTGCTCCTGGAAAAACACCTTTAGTTGTGAACGGGGTTCGCAAAACTAAGGCCTGGTTTATGCTTCTCCGTCAGCTCCGCGAGGGACAGACACGCATGGACTGATGGAAGCATTTTGCTCTTTTACTTCTCCGTCTCCTGGAGAGTGTTGCAAAGCAATTGCCCGGCAGGACAACAGAGGGCGTAGCACTGTTCTGTGGTATCCTGTCACGTATCGGTCCAAGATCGTGTGTTTATATTGTGTTTTTTGTGTATATAAGAGACTTTTAACACGGACATATTTGTCTCTCATTCTTCCACCGCTTCATGCGCTCCCCACCTCTAAACCCACGTTTCCTGTCATTTCCGTCCACAAATAAAACGCTTGCTGCGCATCTTTTCACTCCTCCAGTCACGGGAGGATGAAACGTTCATATTTTTAGAGTTTTTTCGCGAGGTATTCTTCAAGCTTCTCCGTGTCTGCCGCTAGTTATCCTCGGCTCTCTTTGCAATGGTGGCGCTGTAAACAACAGCGGCGTCCTGACCAATCACAAGCTTGCATAATCTGTCTCGTTCAATCAATCAATCAATCAATCAATCAAAGCTTTATTTATAAAGCGCCTTCCACAACCCTGTCAGGAAGCCCAAAGCGCTGATGTTCGACGGATGTTTAAAAAAGTGGGCTCGACTCCGTACGTACTTGCGTGCCTGCCGGAGCCCTACTCAAGGACGGATAATGGCGTTGCGTGTCTCCGCACTGACGCAGACGGAGAATCATGAATCAGGTCTTTGATTTATCCTGTGATGCTTCCGGCTCAGGGTGGTCAGCCGAACCCACTCCAACACAGGGCTGAGACACTTCTGCATTGTGTGGGTCATTGTGAGCAAATGACCTAATGAACACAGCATCTCCAGAGAAATACCTTAAGTTGGTCAAACACAAACAATGTGTGAAAATAAGAGCACAGCAGCACATGTGTGACGGGAAGGTGACATCTTACGTGTGCTACAGCAGGTCGGCCGGCTGGCTGCATGTCGGAGCTGTTGGTTATGTTACGAAGGGTTCGAATAGTTTGATTCCATCCAGGGATGCCATCTGTAACGGACACACCTAAAACAGGCAGGGGGAATCTTTATCAGCAGGTTGGCATGTGAGGAGCTAATTCCAAGGCTGAAGTCCTCGTTATGGCTCACTCAGCAGAGTACGGAAGTGGTTGTCATACATATGGGCCATGAATACCATGTTATACCTTTATTTATATATGAATAGATACAACCAGAATCTAAAAGAATTCAAGATGCTGGAACATAAAGAATTACTGTGTAAAAACCCTATGCTGCCAAACTGCACCTCTGTTGCGCACACACGCGCGCACGCACACGCGCACGCACGCACGCGCGCACACACACACACACACACGCACGCGCGCGCGCACGCACGCACGCACGCACTCACGCGCGCACACACACACACACGCACACACACACACACCTTAGCTTAAGTGTTTTCCAAACGCCAGTCCTGCGTATCCACAGACACTCACAGTCTAACAAACCTAAGCCCTGTGAAAGTGACGGTGACAGAAGGCTGGAGTGGTTCTTACTGACCTTGTGAGGAGTGACTGATGGCGGCAGCAGCAGAGCGCGCCTCTGCCGGCATGGCACCACCGCCACCTGGAACAGGCGTCCCTGTAGCACACAGGTTTATCAGCCCACTGCCTGTGCAGGACACCGGATCCTTGCTGCCAGGAGGCCCGCCTCGCCGTCTGGCCATGCCAGTGGGAACAGTTGGAGTGACCACTTCGGCTGGGGTCCAGTTCAAGTTGGTACCCTCCTTCTCTGTGGAGGACTCATCATCAGAGTCATCAAACATTCGCTCTAGGCGCTCTGGTTTTCGGGGGGACGTTGGTGAGATAGAGTTAAGTCGTTTGGGTCCAGGTCTTCTGCGAGGACTAGACTCCTCGCCTGAAGAGCCCCCGCTGGACGCTCTAGATCGCCGAGGGCTGTAGCTTCCATTTGACTGTGAGTGTAAGTCGTAGGACTCTGCCTCGCTCTCCTCCTCTTCCTCAGGCTCCACGTAGGTGAGTCTGGGGTGATAAAGGGTCTCATCTTTCTTAGTTTTATCTGTGAAGAAAATACATGACATAAAAATTAGCTAGCCTGTAAATAAATAGTTTATAAATAAGGTAGAAATAGATAAGTTCCTCATGCAGATAAATAACGACTCCTCTCTGAGCGACACGTTGCTACTGCACCGCTGGACAGGACTAAACAATTATTATGCAACATTTCGTGAACTTCACTAAAACATATATGTTTGTGTTTGTATTTATATTATAAATGCACTGTAATGAGTTAGTCAATACTTGCAAGATACTGGTTGGGCGTGTACTGGGTAAGTTAAACCTCGGCCCGTTGCGTCATAAACTATGAGCAAGTATACTGGCTCTTTCATACTGGGAATTAGGAGTTTTATTTGTGATTATCTTGTTTCTTTTTCTTACTTATTTTTGTCCTGATTGTGCCCTGAGCATTTTAGACTGAATATATAAATTAACAAACAAACAAATAAATAAAATCAACATTAATTTAAAAATTGTCTTAAAGAATCGAGATCTCAATTTCTGTCAAAATATTCGTGATCATCATCATAATCGAGCAGCCACACCAGTCCACCATGAAAACCTCCGGGAACCAAAGATTCTAACGTGAGTCCATCTGACTAACAAATGAGGCTTGGACCGAACCGGGTCATAAAACAGAACCATGATCCAAACACAGCAGATCTACAGAAAAACGTCTTGCAAATAAGGCCTAGTCCACACGTAGCCGGGTTTTTTAAAAACGAATATCCGCCCCTCCAAAAACTTGCATCCACACCACCTCGTTAAAAAAAAAAAAACTGTCCACACGTACCCGGATAAATACGTTGTTAAAGACATGCCAGACCTGTAGGCGGCAGTACTTCCCCCGTTCCTAACCTCGTCCTTCGTCTGTGGTCTTCCGTAAGGAGCAGTAATCCCGCTTGCAAAAACAAACAAGCAAAAAGCGCTTGGACAATTGATAAAGCGAGCGCAGCTCTGAGGGCATCCATGCTGTCGGCTAGTGTAAACACAGGTCGCACACGTGATGTCAGCATTTTTTTGTCGCGGAAAGTGACGTTGCGGACCTTAAAACTCCGGTTTTGTCCGTCCACACGCAGACACCCAAAACGGAGAAAACGCAGATCTTCACTTTGGCCGGAGTTTTTAAAAAGATCCGTTTTCGTGTGAAAAAACTCAGTTTTGGTGTGGATGACAGGCCAAAACGTAGAAAAATATCTACGTTTTGGCAGATCCCCGGCTACGTGTGGACAGGGCCTAAAAGAATCAAGGTTCTGCAATGATCCAGTGAATGTCTGGACCAGAACCTGTCGACGACGGGATGCTAACAGAGTCAGGACCAGAACAGCTCCAGAGCCACACGAAAGAAAATCGATAATACTCAAGAGTTTCTGCTGCTATTTGACCGCCAAATGGACTGGGTTTTTCTCTAGCAGTTTTTCTTACGTTGTGCCTGTTTAATAATTACTGATTGTTGGGTGTTTTTCTACACTTGAGGTTTGACCAGAACCGTTTAGAGCCAGATGAAGACCACATCAGTCCTGTTAATAAAACTCTGGACCTAAAAGAGGGTGGAGTTTGTCTAAACACACAAATAAAAATCACAATAATCACGATTCCTTCTCAGTATTATTGTCTTTGCCATAAAAGTGACGTACCTTTAACAGAGTCTGTGATCCAATCTGGGGTAACTATTTTGATGCCCGAGTGTTTCAGGGCACACTCAAACTTCGCCTGAAAGCACAACAACAAAGACCATCAGAAATGAGAAAATCACATTAAAGAGAGGAGCTGAAAGTTTTTAAAAGTCCACAGTTTTTAATCAGAGGGCGCCATCTGGAGACAGAAAAATGTATAGCAACTCACAACTCAACTAATGGGCCGTTCCCATCTGTACCGGGTCGGCCCGGGCCGGGTAGCGTAGGTTGTTTACATATCTGGGTGGCCTGGTATTTTTCCGGGCCAACCAAGGCTCATTCTCAGCCCTCTTCTCGAGGGGGTCTGCTTCAGGCCGACCAGGACCAACACGCCCACTGCTGACAGCAAATTCACACCTTCCATTAGAGCAAGCCTCTGATTGGTGGGTAGAATCAGCCCACATGGGCTTAAGACAAGGATGTGTGGAATCAACCGGGCCAGGCTGGGGCCGACTGGGGCTACCCGGCCCGGGCCGACCCGGTACAGATGGGAATGGCCCATTACATTAGTGATTACGGCCCAAAGTAACGCATATATACTGCTAGCCACTGTTATAGCAGATCAGTTCATTTTAACCGGAAGCAAAGTGCGACATTTTGGACGCGCCCCAGAAGTGAGGGTACGCCATCATTATGTTTTGAGTCTATTTTTGCAGCGGTCCGCTTGCTGACTGGAACCAGCAAGCGGGATCACATAACCCCGGTTCTGGCCTCTCTCCATTGGCTTCCTGTCTCTTACAGGATCCACTTTAAAATTTTACTTTTTGCTTTTAAATCCCTTCATGGCCTGGCCCCAGTTTACATCTCTGAGCTGCTGTCCGCTTACGTCCCTGCCAGAACCATGAGGTCCAGCTCCCAAGCTCTTTTAACAGTTCCAAAAACCCGCCACAAGACTCGCGGCGACAGAGCGTTCTCTGTGGTTGGGCCCAAACTGTGGAACAAGCTACCTCTCAACATCAGGACCACACAGAATCTAGAACATTTTAAATCCCTTCTTAAGACACATTTTTTTGATTTGGCTTTTAATGCAGGCTGACTTGAGCATCTTAACAGTTTTTAACAGTTTTTATTACAGATTGTGACTGTTGTGTGCTCATCTTATTTTAGGTTTTTATTGTTGATCTGTCGTATCTTGATTTGTTTTAGCTTGTGCAGCGCTTTGGTGTAGCTTTGCTGCTGTAAATGCACTCTATAAATAAAATTGACCTTGACCTATTTTTGACGCGCTACGCTTCCACAACACATCAAACTCTGCAGTTTAAATCGAGCCAGACAGGAAGTCAAACAGAAAAGAAGCATACAACATCCAGAAAACTTCAAAATAAAAGGTCACGTGCAGTATGCCATTTCCTGTGAACCTTTGTGACCAGAAAATAACCCACAGACATTTTTTTCATGCATGCAGCTGTCTTTCTTTTTGTTTATTATTGTGTGTGGACGTCTGAAATCACCCGTGGTGTTGCAATTCTTCCGTGACTTCGTGACATCATGGGATCAGCTGTGTGAAACGCTTTCACTACCATTTTGCGTCAGAATTGCTCCCGGTAGGAATGTGCTTGGGGTAGGGTAGAACGCCACTATTACGTAACAAGACCGTTTTCACGGCCAGTGGACAGCCGGGGTTTATCCCAACAAGGTACTGGAAACATTCCTCAGAGATTTTGGTCCATATTGACCTGATGTAGCATCAAACAGTTCCTGCAGATTTGTCGGAAAATCTCCTGTCCACCACATCCCAAAGGTGCTCTATTGTTTTGAGATCTGGTGAGTAGAGGCTGGCCGATATATTGGGCCGATAAATTAATATTTTTCTATATTGGCCGAAATTATTTTTAAAAGCCGATAAAAAAAATAATAATAGTAAATCTGGCACCTGTGTGGTCAACTGCCACCACTACTAGACTGAAGAAAGCGCCCGAAGGACCCCAACACACCATTTTTTTAAATATTTAGAGTATGTATTATATTTGAAGTTCAATAAATATTAAGAGATTTAGTGACTTATTTCATTAATATTGCACACAGCGAGTGTTCATTTGTGTTTCACAATCAATGTGCTGGTAAAACGTAAATATATCCGCCTTAATAATCGGCGTTAGATATCGGCCATCGGCAACAAAATTCTTTAAAAATTGGCATCGGCCGTAATCTACCATATCGGTCGGCCTCCACTAGTGAGTGTGGAGGCCATTTGAGTTGTCACGCTCAAGAAACCAGTCTGAGATGATTCAAGCTTTCTGAAATGGCGCATTATCCTGCTGCAGTAGCCATCAGAAGATGGGTACACTGTGGTCATAAAGGGATGGACAATGGTCAGCAACAATACTCAGGTAGGCTATGGCGTTGCAATGATGATCAATAGTACTAAAGGGCCCCCAAAATGTGCCAAGAAAATGTCCACCACACCATTACACCACCACCACCAGCCGGTTGATACAAGGCAGGAAGGATTCATGGATTGTATACGCCAAATTCTGACCCAACCATCTGAATGTTGCACCAGAAATCGAGATTTGTCGGACCAGGCAACGTTTTCCAGTCTTCTATTGTCCAACTTTGGTGAGCCTGTGCGAATTGTAGCCTCAGTTTTCTGTCTTTAGCTGACAGGAGTGGCACCGGGTGTGGTCTTCTGCTGCTGTAGCCCATCTGCTTCAAGGTTCAGCGTGTTGTGCGTTCAGAGATGCTCTTCTGCATACCTTATCTGAGTTACTGTTGCCTTTCTATCCACTCAAACCAGTCTGGCCATTCTCCTCTGAACTCTGGCATCAAGAAGGTATTTTTGCCCACAGAATTGCAGGTCACTGGATGTTTTCCCATTTTTGGACCACTCTCTGTAAACCCTAGTGATGGTTGTGCGTGACAATCCCAGAAGATCAGCAGTTTCTGCAATACTCAGACCAGCCCGTCTGACGCCAACAACCCTGCCACGTTCAAAAGTCACTGAAGTCACATTTCTTTCCCATTCTGAAGCTCAGTTTGACCTGCAGCGGATTGTCTCGACCATGTCTACATGCCTAAACGCACTGAGCTGCCACCATGTGATTGGCCGATTAGTCATTCGCGTTAAAGAACAGTTGGATAAGTGTACTCAATTGTGTGTGTGTGTGTGTGTGTATTACTTGTGATAAATAAAAACTTAACTCAAGAACAAATATAATCAATAACAAAGAAATTAAAAACAACAAATAAAATAAAAATGAGAAAAGCAAAAGATGTGAGGAAAATGAACAAGAAAAGGCAATCAGTGGATCCCAGGAAAAGCAGAATTAGCAGAAAGAACAGAACAAAGCTAACTCAGGTGTTTGCTAACCATCTAAATTAAGTGCCATCTGCCTCGGAGGCGGGCATCTAACCTATGAGAACCCACCCAATTGGCCAAATAGGTGAAGAGCTCTATTAGATTTGTTTAAAAACACATCATGCATCTGTTTGATTGACAGAATGCATTATGTTTAGCAAACGTTTGAGCTAACCATTCATTTCGATATTTATCGGTTCTTTGCGATATGCATATTGTACAATCAATTCAATTCAAGTTTATTTTTATAGCGCCAAATCACGACAAGAGTCGTCTCAAGGCACTTCACATAGTAAACATTCCAATACAGGTCAGGTCATTAAGCCAATCAGAAAAAAGTTTCCTATATAAGGAACCCAGCAGATTGCATCGAGTCACTGACTAGTGGCAGTGACTATACAGCAATCCTCATACTAAGCAAGCATTTAGTGACAGTGGAGAGGAAAACTCCCTTTTAACAGGAAGAAAACTCCAGAGGATCCTGGCTCAGTATAAGCAGCCACCCTCCACGACTCACTGGGGATGGAGAAGACAGAGCACGCGCACACACTCACTCACACACACACACACACACACACACCATATATACGAAGTAATGTTTCTATGGTTACATTGTGATTTCTTAGCAAATATTCTATACATGCTGATATCGTGATAACGATATCTTTGCCATATATTGTGCAGCCCTAATACATATATATATATATATATATATATATATATATATTAAAGACTTACTATTCTATGAGAAAGGTCACTCACTCTGCATCAGGTAGCTTCTCAGACGCTCACACACATTCTGTGACTGACGTATGTAAGCGGATGTCTCACACTATTGGCTAATGCAGAACTGCAGTCAACTCAAATCACACAGGGCTCTATGAGGTGGGGGGTGGGGCTTAGCTAAGAAATCGTTTATGATTCACACCATCCCAGAGTAGAACTGCACCACATCAATGGGTTTAAGTATCACCAACCTTCTGCTAGGGTTGAACTGTTCATGGACAAACAGCAGCTCCATGTTTTTGGCTTCTGTGCCTTCTACTCTGGTGATGCTTTTAATGATAAACGACCCGCACTTGTATAGCGCCTCTCAGAGTAAGGACTCCAAAGCGCTTTACACTACAGTGTATCATTCATCCATTCACACACACATTCACACACTGATGGTAATGTGCTACGATGTAGCCACAGCTGCCCTGGGGCGCACTGACAGAGGCGAGGCTGCCGAGCACAGGCGCCACCGGTCCCTCAGACCACCACCAGCAGGCAAGGTGGGTTAAGTGTCTTGCCCAAGGACTCAACAGCAGAATTCTCTGTCCGGATCCGGGATTGAACCTGCAACCTTCCGATTACTGGACAACCCGCTCAACCTGTTGAGCTACTGCTGCCCAGGTTTGTTTTGAAAAACTAGCTCTTCCTAATACCCACCAGCAAACGCTACAGACAGTAGTCACAGAGAAGCCCAAAACACCAACAGCAGTGAGACGATTACCCCAGGGCTCTCCCCGCTTCCACCACACTGCCCTTCACCCGTCTTATTCTCCGCATTAACTCACTCTTTACAGCGATCACTTCATCCCTCAAGGTCTGACTCATTTAGAAAGAATTGAAAAATGTATAAAAGCACATGTCAAAACACTAATTCCTGTACGAGTTGCTTCATAGACGATACACACAGCAGAGCTGGAACTCACCCCCTTTGGCTCCTTCACCACCAGGTGTGTGACCTTCTTGTTGAGGTTTAGCTGACATTCTCCGCCGTAGAAGGTTACGTACGCCCACAGAGCGTGAAGATCATCCGGAAGCTTAAATACATTCAGAATGAAAAGTTTCATCAATACTGCAAAACAAATGAAGTATCACAGAAAATACTTTTCTCCTTTAGACACAAGATTCTGTTTGACTGCTTTTGCATACTCACCCTGGGAAGACAAACCGTAACACCAAAAAAGATCTGCCCCGATTCAGGAGAGAACCCAGTCACACTGAAGTGTCCAAAGTTACAGAAAATCAGCAACAGACGGATGACAAAAGCCTCTCACTGCAGATGTTTCGCAGATTACAGTACAGTACTATTAGTGATGATGTTAGTCTAAGACATATTAGATTTGATGATGAAAGGATACGGTAAAAGATCTCCACATCGAACAGACAGGATCACCCAGGATGGCTGCAAAGGGACAAAGAGAGTTCATGTTTTAGCTGCACTGGTTCCCAACAACTTAGATTTATCAGATATTATCAGGTATTAATGGCTGTTTCTGAAATCAAGACAACTCCCACATGAGGAATGAGATCTAAAGATAAGCCAGCTCTTATTCCACAATAATCTTGTAACAGAATGAAATGACTGTTTTCCCCTCTCCTCTGCACAGAACTAGTCTGCATGAGATATGGTCTCAAGGTCTCATGCATTTGCTTCTAAACTGCTTCTTTTCAGTTCAACAGAAGAAAGAAGAATGGACTCTCTCCTTTTAATTAATCAAAGAACTATTTTAATAAAGCTAATCACGCAAAGTGTTAGTCAATGAATAAGATGTGACCGATCTGTGAAATCAAAATATTAATTACTTTATTATAATCCTATAGAATATAATAAGTAATAGGACTTTAAATGTTCCACTAGGACTGATCTCACGTAGCGTTGAAAGACATGACACATTACTGATCCAATCAGAATCTGCCAGATCTGACGGAGGTGTGGTTTTGGTGGTGTTTGGTAAATCTGTCATCTTTTCATTCGACCATAAACCAAAACATCCGAAGTATAAAACTATGCCCACGTCATCTTTAACGCCAGTTCAAAGCGTTCTAGAGAAGTTGTCGGAGTGGCCAATCCATAACTTTCCTCTTCAGCCGAAAGAACCAACGACAAGCTGGATAAAATCTGTTGCTGTTCCAACTGCTGCAACGGTTCCTTTCAGAATAAAAGCTGAACCATCACGACACAGGTTTGGGTCTCGCTAGATGCCAACAAAACTGTCGTGACCCGGGAGTATTTCAAGACTGGTGGTCGGCTGCCGCAGGTGCTTCTACAGGCTTCGGCTCCATAAAGGTCAAGCTGGACCTCTACACCTGCTGATCTAGACGGGGACTTCCGCTAAAGCTTGGTTTATGCTTGACGCATTCACTTTCCGCTTGATGATGCGGCTCGCGGCTGGAACGCGCTTCACAACTCGCAGCATTTATGGTTCATGTGGCTCGTCTCTGCGGTGAGCCAATATTCTCCCAAACTGTAGGGGGCAGCATGGAGCTCTACGGCATGCATCCAACACTACACCATAGTAGAAGTAGAAATTACTGTTGTTTACAACATGGCATTCCAGCATTTTTAACAGCGTCCTCGTCTTTTCCGGCAGTGCGAGCTATTTCTCTCCAAGAATGATTAACAACATGTTGATCACGGTGATCTCTGAGAGCTGAAGCATACAAATGTCTGTATTTACCAACCTCTGCCATACTAGATCTTGCCGGTCCGCCATGTTTTTCCGCGTCCAACCGTTCGCGTGGTTAGAAATTTTCCGAGGTGCGCGTTGCGGAAATCTTGGGCCGTGCGGAGACGCGGTGGAGGGGCGTGGTTGTTAAAATGACGCAACTTTTCCGCGCGGAGCCGTGCGGACCTCGCGGACGTGTCAAGCATAAACCAACCTTAAGGGTACGTAGACCGACAAATGGCGTCGAATGTGTTTATGAACCTCCTAACCAAAGCTTAACGCGAAAACATCACCTTCGGTTCTCATCAGAACTAATCGCTTCTTTGTATTTGCTGGTTCTGAACAACAATCCACACTACACCATTCTCCGTCTCATTCACCTTAGTTACACCATACATTTAGTTAAAGTCAGTCTAGTTTAATCTGTTTAGTAATAAATTTTTAGACTTTTGAACTTGACTCTCTCTCTTCTGTTGTCTCTGAGTGAATACGAAGCTGTTATCTAATCCCTGCAATAAAAAGTACCAATCTTCTGGTTTAAATAACCTCACAGATCCATAAGGTTGATTTCATATTTCCTATGGAATCCTACGCCTTACGGCTCATTAAATAACATGTAATTTAAATCATTACAATCTCTTTTATTGCTGCTTTCTTTGGGAGGTGGAAACATGCTGTGACACTGACAACATTGTTACCTTGACAACAGGCAGGTCAAACACCTCTCTTGACTCGCCCACCTCGGGGTTATCTCCATCCTCAGCTATGATGTGAGTAGCCAGGGCATTGTAGGACACTTCCTTCCCCTTTCCTGCTTTCAGCAGCTGCACCACCTGCAGCATCAGGAGGATAGAAGCATCACAGGGTCACCACATGTGTGTGTTTTAGTCCACACAACCATTACAGGGGTTTTATCTAGGTTGGATTTTAATTTTGACTTTCTACTTACAAAACTTAATTCACTAAATAATCAGTTTGACACTAATTAGCATTTCTTATTGGCTACTAAAGATAGCTGACAACAATTTTGTTACATCAAGGAAGCTGTCAGGCCTTTCTTCTTTAAAACAAAAAGTTCATTTATTTACCAAAACAAACAATGATTGTCTCTGAAAAGATAGAAGGAACACCAGCGAAAACCAAGTCATTAAAACAAATGACAGAAAAATCTTCTCATGTGTGATGCGACAGGATAGGGGCGGGTAGGAACAGTAGGGAGACAGGAGGGGACATTACAGTTAACTGAGATTAAAGCAAAGAACAAAACTTATAGCAAATCAATATGTAGATAATGTCTACAATTTGGATTAACAATTTTCTATTGGACTGTTACCATGGCGTTCAGGTTATTATTCTGGTAGGGTAAACTGACACAGATTTATGAAAAATGTTGATTTTATAAAACTATAAAACAGAAAATTTGGGAAAATAAAATGATGTGACGGGTTTTATAGGTGCCTGGTTTGGTGTGTGCTCAGACTGTTTACTATTAACCCTCAGTAGTGTGTACCCAAACCTGAATGCTGTGAAAACAGGTTCACTAAAACAGGTATTACTGTACTAGGTGTTTCTGACCTAAACACGCTGCAATTATTTAATGAAAATATTGCTATAATTTATTATAAATCATAGCTGGAAAGATTTTAGGTACGTTTCCACAAAGTGACCCAGAACCTTTCAAAATAAGAGTTTATTAACCCCAACCCGTCAACGGAATACGATCTGCAGGCTTATTATGTTATTATTTGATAATAACATAAATAATCTGATCACTGAAATAAATCTGGGTTTGGCCACAATAAGAACTGATATAACAAATTGTGTGTGTGTGTGTGTGTGTGTGTGTGTGTGTGTGTGTGTGTGTGTGTGTGTGTGTGTGTGTGTGTGTGTGTGTGTGTGTGTGTGATCAAATTGTAAGCCGATGTTTATTTTCTTTCGCGCATGCGTGGAACGAATAGAAGCGTTAGCCGGAAAAGACCTAGCGCTGTCGGGGCTTCAGAGCGTGGGAGGCCTCAGAGTGCAGGAGATTGGCACCAGCGCGTAAAACAGCGGTGACGCATGCGCTATAGTCAACACCCAGACACTAGCCATTATACGTTGAGTATAAACATTGTTGACAGTTACAAGCTAACGTGAAACGTTTCCATGAAGCATTGAGCAGATAAACAACCTGTATGCAGACACAGACATTTGTTCCTCAGCTCCACCACCCCCACACTGTAGACAGTAAGCTAGCAGCTAGGCTGGAGTCTCTCCTCAGTCTAAAGGCTGAGCTAAAGTGCAGCGCAGAGTACGATCAGCTCAAAATGAGCGATCAACGAACCTGAAGGAAAACGTCACACAACTGACAACACAAAGAGGAGCGATCCCACTGTAGCATGTTGTCGCGTTAGCATGATGGTTAGCTTCATCTAGATGGAATCCGTTTAGCAAGTTAGCATGCTACCAACATAGCTGCTGAAAGGAAGCTAACAGGACCTGCATACCTTCTGGTCAATGTCTCCGACCACGTAGAATTTGACATCTTTAAAAAGTTCCTCCGGAACCTTCCATTCCTCTTCAGACATGACTGTCCATGAACGGACGGGGAGCGCGTCAGTGAACTGGGAGAGTCTGGGAGAGGGAAGTTTGTGAGTGCTGCTGGCTTGCAGAATACTGACTCCAGCGCCAAATCTCTGAGCGCGCGCGCGCGCCTTGGACCGCAGCGTTCTGATCTCACGCGGAAGAGGAGGGGTCAAATCTGACCCTCTCCCATGTGGTGTGTTGCATAAAGTAAAAACTTTAAACGTCTTTTGTTAAACGCACTGAAGGTGAATAATAGTATGGTATGCAAATAGTTTCACTACATGATGGAAAGAAGAGGACATGTTTATCCAAACAAGACTGCGCGGTTTAAACCTAGGATAAATACCCGTTTTGGTTTTTACTCATGTATGGGTTTAGAGGTCACTTTCGATCTGTTAGCTGTTATGATTTCCAGGTGTTCAAAGATGCATAGTGAAGTGCCATTTATTGGCCCTTAGTAATGAATAGTTAGGTTTTCTCTAAATAAAATGTAACAATAAGTTTGTAATATATATATATATATATATATATATATATATATATATATATATATACTTGTCTTTGATTATACTTAAAATAAACATTAAATTCCAGCTGAACTACACTTGCATGGTACTTGTGCCTATGTATGAGAACTCTGTATGTTAGGGAGCCAATTTCAGAATGGAGTGGAAAGCATCTAATGAGTATGAGTATGCTGTGTTCTGCTTTAATTCTGTTGGAATCTCTGCTCTCTCCAGCTTGACTGCTGTGGGTAGGAAAAGCCGCAGTTCATTCCTGTTTTGTCCTGATGAAGGATGGAGGTAAACTGGAAATTCTGGTGGATCATATTTATGAACATGATTCACTAGTGACTTCCATTTTGCCTCCTAATCATGGTTGCCATCAGACACGGAGCAGTCCAGGATAGAGAGCTGATGCCACCACAGACCCACATATACCCATGCCCACTCCTAAACAGGTAACATTTGATTTACAATATTTACTGTTCACACACAGACATCAAAGAAGTGTGTTGTACCCTGTGGTACAAGATGGCTCTTGAACCACCTTGCCATCTGACAACTGTGGTCAGTCACCAGCACATCAACATTCAATTCTGTTTATTTATAAAGCACCAATTAACAACACAAGTCATCATCCCAAAACAATTAACAAAGCAAACATTCCAATTGAACCTACAAAGTAAACAGTGCATTGAGTTCAAGTTATTATCCCAATTAGTCAAAGGTTTTCTATCTGAGGAAACCCAGCTGATTGCAAGGCATTTACAGCTGCCCCTCATACTAAGCAAGCACGTAGTGACAGTGGAGAGGAAAACTGAGTCTGACACTTGCAGTGGCGGCTCGTCCATAGGGGGCACTAGAGCACCCTGACGAGAAGGGAGAAGTAAAGTGAAAAATACTGCATTTGATATACATGTATTTAGTATAATTGTATCACATTTGCTTAATTGTGTGTTACTCCATCTGATTTTTTTCACACATCATTTTCACCAGCTGTCTCTCATTAAACAATGAATTTCATTCAACAGATTCACTGATATCACCCCCGCAGTGCTGGGAAAAGAACCCGGAAACTAAACAGCCAATCATGTTTGGTTGCTAGAAAAAACTGGAGAAGTTTTGGGCCAATCATTATTACTGAATTTATTGTCTCTGGGGCACTGGCGAATAGCGCCCCTCCTACAGGAAATAACATGCTAGAAGATTCTGGATCTCCTTCTCTCTATGAAGTCTATGAAGTGTTAGTGCCATCTACAGCTTTGGAACAGTCTACCTTCAAATCTCCGTCTCTCTAACACTGTAGAGGTCTTTAAAAATCATCTAAAAACTCACCTTTTCATCCAGGCGTTTCCTCCCTAAATGTTTCAAAAAGATGGCTTTGTTCGGGTTCACACCTTCACTTTGTTTATACTCATGATTTTATTTTCTACGTTTATCACTGCTATTGTTTTTCTGATGTTTTTATTGGTTAGAGGTATTTGCCCTGATCTTTATCATGTTGTACAGCGCTTTGTGATTTATATCTGTGAAAGGCGCTATATAAATAAACTTTTACTTACTTACTTACTTTCTCTCTCTCTCTCTCTCTCTCTCTCTCACTCACTTCTTCATTCAAACACAGATATTTATATAAATAGAGCTGAAACCATACTTGTATTTGTTGCAGTAAAATATGTATAGTAGTTCTCATTATACATGATTTTAACGTTTTAAACGGAATTTTTAATAACCTTTCTCAGTGGCCTAGAGGTAGAGTGTCCGCCCTGAGACTGGGAGATCATGGGTTCGACACCTGGTCGGGTCATACCAAAGACTTAGAGAAAATGGGACCCAATGCCTCCCTGCTTGACACTCAGCAAAAGAGGGTTGGATTGGGGGGTTAAACCACCAAGTATTTCATGAGCGCGGCTGTGACTGTAGCTCACCGCTCCCCCAGGGGAAGGGGCAAAGCGGAGAATAATGGGAGTTTAACTTTTAAATTTAATTTCTATGAAGTGTTAGTGCCATCTACAGGCAGAACCTAGTTTTGTGCTTTGAGGTGCACACACATTGAGTAGATGGTCGACACACAAGCTGTTGGAGACTGAAACTCCAGCTGGAAAATGTGAATAAGGCCACAATGGACATTATAAGTAGTGGTTGCTCTTAAAGGAGTTCACGACAGGCTTCTGTATGTATTTGAGTATTATTATGGACTAATTAATCTGTAAATTTAATTTTTTATCTGTAAAACTGCTTTTTTGGAAAATGGAAAAAACTGATTGTTTTGGGATTGTAGTAGTTGTATAACTGTTCATTTGAATACTTATTGTGGACTAAGGAAAATAGTTTCACACACATCCCCACCAACACATTTTTCTTTACCAGTTGCCACTGCACAGATGCCGTATCATAAGAATACAGATCTTGTTTTGTGGGGAAAATAGATCCTTCATTGGGCTGGCTGATTATCGATACAGGGAATACGTATAGGTGTTTATGTTCTGTCGATCGTTTTTTATTTATTTATTTATTTATTTAATTATTATTTTTTTATTCTGTCTATCTTTAATGGCATATAAATTGCATCATGTAGAAAAAACTGCATCACTGATTAATAAAACAACACTGATAAATAGAAAAAAACACAACCTAGTATAGAATCATATCCTCCAGCAACGAATTAGTAAATGTTTACACACATCAAGCCCAAAGGGGGGCAGTATTGTACCAAGCTACAAATGGTAATATGCTCTTCTAAGGGCTCTAGAGTGTGAACATGCCCTGCTAGTGGTATCTCTAGAAAACAACAAAAACCAGGTTTATGGAGAAACATCTCACTCCTGTTGTTCAGGATCCACATCGAAGCATCAACATTTCGGACTAAACTGATAGCGACAAGCTGTCTCCGTCACGTTAGTCTGAGTTTGTTGACTTCTGGTGATTAAATCTGTGTACTTTTAGTGTTTTCGTTTATTTGGTCTTTGTCGAGCTCATTAATCGAGACTGAGCAGAATCTCACTGATCGGACAAATCTGCTCCTCACCAAGGGGCTCGTGACGTCTGTCCCCATAGATCTGTCTGACTGGACCAGAGGCGAGCGTGGCCATCGCTGTATTTTCTAGCCTTCTGTCACAACCACCATCTGACAGCCTCCAGCTCACCTTCCTGTTTCACTCACATTTCATGTCATTTACAATTAGTTCCTGTTGTGGTTAATCGCTTCAGTCATTACCAGGCTCAGTGCCACACACACACACACACACACGCGCGCGAGAGAGAGAGAGAGCGCACACACACACACACACACACACACACACACACACACACACACACACACACACTTCAGTGCAGATTAACCTTGGCCATCTGAGTGTGATAAATCAATGAGTTTTCTGACAGCTACATTAATTATGTGGATGTCTGCCTTTCGACTTGTCCCTATAAAATAGAGATATTCACCCAGACGTGCCACCTGCACACCGCTGGTCCTTCTCCTCACTCTTTGCCTCTCTGAGCCCAAGACTCTGATCAGACCTGATGAGACGTTACTGCGATGTTCAGATTCCTCACCTGGTGCCGTCTGTTGGTCCAGATGAAGGACGGAGAGGAAAACTGCCCAGGTGACACTTTGGATAGGCACAAGAGTTTCAGTAAGAACTATTACCTGTAGTCTAATTGGTGTGGTTTTAGAAATTTAATTTGAAATTAGCCAAATGTATTTTGTATATCTAACTGATATTTTCTTCAGTCATAAGCAGACTGGTGCCACTGGTCGGAGGGACCGGTGGCGCCAGTGCTCGGCAGCCTGGCCTCTGTCAGTCCGCCCCAGGGCAGCTGTGGCTACATCGTAGCTCATCCCCACCAGTGTGTGAATGTGTGTGTGTAAATGGGTGAATGACTGATTGTGTTGTAAAGCACCTAGGGGGGTTCCAGGTGTAGGGTTTAGGAAATTGAGTGCTTTAAGAGCTCAATATATATATATATTACCTCTACTTATGACCAATAAGCTGTGATACTCTATCTAAATATAAAATATCAACCTGCTTGGTCTTTACTGTATTGATCAGAAGATTCTAGGATTCCTTATTAAGGGATTGTACACACTTTGTTTTGATTCAGAAAACAGTCAGGTTTATAAAACTAAGACTTTACTTTACTAACAATTAAAACATGACAGGTTAACTAACATTTACTGTGATGGATGGAGCTATGTGTGAATGCGATGTTATCAGAACTTCCGTATTTAGGAAAGCTGAGTTCTGGATGTAAAAGAATTTGGTTTGTGTTAAGCTAAGAAGCTGATTATTATCAAAACCAGTCAAATGCTGTCTGCGTGTCTACTTCACCCGTTTTTGGAGATCCTCCTCTTCGTGGATCCGAAGGTCAGAGAGGTCGGATGACCTCTGGCACCCAGGTCCAGTAGATTGACCACATCACCGACTTCTCCTGTCCAGAGATGTCTCGGGTCACGACAGATGGATGAAACTGCGCGTCTGGCGGACTCTTAAGGACATCAGCTTGTTCTGCAGGAACTGTTCGCTGTATCAGCTTCGCAGGTGCAAAAAGATTTTGACGACGTGTCAAAATCTTTGATGGTTAAAGAGGGTTTTGCTTCAGATGGCAGCTCTGAAGCTTTCTCTAGAACTGATGAAACACCAGAGTGATCCGGTTTTAATGTTCTCATGTTATGATTTGTGTAGCCAACCAGAGGTTGACAAACTGAGGAATGGTTACCAAGACAACCTCAGAAACACGCCTTCCTTGATACCGGATGCTCTGATCTGGGGTAAAGGGCCATCTATGTCTCATGGGTTTAACTTTACTTTACTTTGTCCTTGTGTGAGTGCAAATGGTGATGACCTCGTCATGTCAACATGCTGAAACATATATCAATCTTTCAATGTAATCATAACATAAAATTCATTTCAACCTTCAATCATTGAAGCACAGGTTAATGAAAACATTTCATTATACTATAATTATTATAAGTAGCAAAAAACAAACGTTTATTTACTGATTATCTAGCTTATTAGTTGTAGAAGTTCATATTTAATTTGAGAAATCATTCTTTGATTTAGCAACTAATCCGGGCTGCGAGTGTTCACTTATTTGGAGGCATGAAGAATCCTGTAGGACAATAAGGGAAGCTTGAATCTTGGGGAGAGAACATTATTGTTGACATTTCGTTATCTGTGTTCAGAGCTGCAGGCTCTGAGCTCCAGCTGGTGGGATGGAGGCAGGCGGATTTAAAGGGAACTCCTGCAGTCTCGTCGACCAGATGTTGAATGGTCAAACGGTACCTAAAACCTGACCATTGCTGGACGTTACACAGGACTCTAGAAGGCGCTATGTCAAATACAGGCCATTTACCATATAAAGTAATGGGACTTCTGTATGTCAGTGTCGCCCTCCTGACTGCTGACTTTAACCCTGAATACACAAATACAAGTTTGTCTCCCTAAACTACCCTTTCACTATGACTTAAGAAACTTTTCAGACTAATGGAGACCAGGGGTTCCATTCATTATGATTTATGTTATGTTTCTGATTGAGTCACAGACAAAAGGTTTTGTTATTGAAGTTATTTATTTTTTGTTGGACATTTAAAACGGATTCTTTAGAAGCAGAGGGACTGGCCACCCTTCCTGTGTAAAGAGGAAATGTTTGTTAAACGTCAATTTGTGTTTAAGTTGATCTCCAAAGTTTTACTCACCTTTCTGGTAGTGTCTCCTCAGCAGGGCGAGGCAGCAAAGGGAAGTTTGTGTCCCAGGTGCTGCTTTCAAGCTGCTGGAGCATACCACTTAAATAAGGAGGGGTGATTCTTGGAGGAGTTATGTGAAACCTAGTTTCTTTTGTTTGATTGAACGTGGATTTATTTAGTATGATTTGTATTTATGTAAATAATGTTTGGTACCATTTATTTTGGTGGATGGGTTCTGTAAATATTATTTAATTATTATTTCTTTGATTACCCCTCTTCTTGGTTTCTTCCAATCAGTCACTTAGTTATAAAAGGCAGTGAGTGTTGGTGTTAGGTGATGTTGGTGTTGGTGACAAACATGTTGCAATAAAGCCACCTCAACCCGATTTATTTGTTAGCCTCTCCTTCAAACCACGTGCTGCCGCCGGTCAAAACTGACACAGACACTTGGTAACTTGATGTGGAGTGATGGTGGCAGAAGAGTTAAGTACACGCCCGTAACCAGAGGGTTGCAGGTTCACACCCCCTCAGTCTCCTGCAGCTGTTGTGTCCTTGGGCAAAGCTCTTCAACTGGATTTCCTGTTGGTGGGGATCAGAGGGACCAGTGGCACTGGTGTACAGGCTCCTCACCTCTATCAGTGTACCCAGGGCAGCTGTGGCTACAATGTAGCTCATCACCAGCCCGTGAATGGGTAACTGTTGTATTTTAAAGGGCCTTGGGGGGTTGTAGGACTCTAGAAGACCCTATATAAAAACAGGCCATTCACCATTTAACCTAATTTGTTGGTACAGGTATGGTCATGCCTTACATCCATCGTTTGTATTGATTGTTTTTGCTTTGTTGTCTAAAGGTGTAGATAGAATGTTTTACCTTCTATTTAACCAGGTGATTCTCATTTCCAATGGCAACCTGGACCAGACTAATTCATAGAAAAGCCCCGTGCCTCATGTAAAAAGGATGCATATAAAGAAACCAGCTAGGCGGCCTAGTGGTAGTGTCCGCCCTGGGACTGGGAGGTACGGGTTCAATTAATCAAAAGGGGTAGGGGATCAAGAACAAAATCCAGATATGTCACAGCCTCAATTGTCAGATATTTATACAGTAATGACCATACCTGCAGGTGAGGTCACCCAAAGTGGGCGGAGCCTCACATAGCTGCTCTGATGCATTGCTAAATAACCTGTTCATAACCTCAGTCATTTATCACAACACTGTTTCAACCAACCACCGTCTGAATTACTACACTGCTGAACGTGTGCCGCTGCTGTGTCACTCCGCCTGATTGGCCAGTTCTGCTGTTCTCCACTCGGGCAGTGTAAGGGTCAGAGGGACCTGGTGCCTGTCTTCAAAAGACTCCCAAGCAAAGGGTGGAGACCAGATCCGGCGCCAGAGGACTTCACCTGGAGGGGCAGTGGGTTTTTCTGGGGGGGCCCAGTAAACCGTGTTTTCATCAACCCCTTTGCATGTTTATAATCTGTCTGGTGGACGTTACATACATATACTTCCGGGTCAAATCGGCCGTTTGCGTCACCAACTTGTTCTACATAAATAACTGAAAAGCTAAGATTCTTCATTGTTTAATTCCGATTATGTATGCCAATTAAAGATGCAATCAAAACTTAAGACAAAGTAACCAATTTTACCGAACCTCTTAGAAAAATACTTGCAACTCACCGTTCTTAGCTGCGCCTGCGCACCACAGAGTCACCATCTCAAAACAATCCTTACGTCCAGTTAATGTTCTCCAATAAAGTACTTAGTCCACAAGTCTTCTTCCAAATCCTGCCCTGCAGCTTGATACCTTGGTAAATTCTTCTTTTGCACGTATTTCTCATAATGTTTACATCACAAATACTAGTTAGCATCAGGTTAGCATGCTACTCCTTGGCTGCGTGCTTCTTCTTCTTGGTAAACATTGACTTGGTGCGTTACTTCCACCAGCTGGTAAGAAGTGTAAACTAGGTCTTCTTAACAAGATTTAGAAAATCTAGAGTGTTTTCTTTCTAAAAAGAGAACAGACAACCCTGTATTTAAGATGGTTCAAAAACAGTTTCAACTTTAATATGCGTTTAAAACATTTTAATCAAACATTTTAATCGAACAGACACCCCTGAGACTGTGCTGGAGGCACGGAGAGAGGAGGAACAGAAGCGCTTGTAGCTGCAACTTCTGGCTGCACTTGCCTTTTTGATGATGCATCATCCCTGCTTGTGCTAGCATTGTTTTTCTGTTTGCTAAACCAAGTTCTGATATCCATTTTAGCAAGCTACTGTACCAAAGCGTCTTCTCCTACTGCATCTAAAACTGTCGAATAGTAACCTAGAGCGCCCTCTGTTGATCGTCTTGAGCCAATACATTTGCATGAGGTGTTGTAATCTGTCCTGGGCGGGCCAGATCGGGAAATGGGCGGGCCGGGCCCGGCCTTGACGCCGGGCCTGGTGGAGACAGGTTTCCAATCCATCACAGGTGCACAGAGACAAACGACACTCTCAGTGTCAGCATTTTTCTGTGTTGGGTCACGGGGGCAGCAGCCTATCCAGGGAGGCCCAAACTTCCTTCACCCCAGCCACTTGAGAATCCCAAGGTGTTCCCTGGCCATCTGAGAAACATAGTCCTTCTAGCATGTCCTAGGTCTTCCTTTAGGTCTTCTCCCAGTTAGACGTGTCCAGAAAACTTCACCAGGGAGGCATAGGAGGCATCCTAACCAGATGCCCGAGCCACCTCAACTGGCTCCTCTCAATGTGGAGGAGCAGCGAATCTACTCCGAGCCCCTCCCGGATGACCAAGCTTCTCACCCCATCTCTAAGGGAGAGTCCAGACACCCCGAAAACTTTTTTCAGCTTTCCGCTCAGATCTCCCTTCTCCACAACAGACATCCTACAACACCCCACCACAGTCTCAGCACCAATCCACCTATCGATCTCCCGCTCCAATGTTTTCTGCTCATTCGTCAACGAGGCACTGAGATACTTAAATGCCTCCACTTGAGGCAGGACCTCGTCTCTGACCCGGAGAAAGCATTCTACCCTCTCCTGGCTAAAGACCAGATCACAAATGACCTGATCTGCATGGTTTTGTTCTGTAGGAGAAAACCAGAGTACTGACAGCTTGTACTGTATGTGGAGAAAAGCAGTTGGGATTTAAACCTTGAACTTTCTTAGCTGAGCTAACATCCACAAAAAATCTGTTCGTTCTCCGTACTCAGACTTTGCAGACAAAGCGCCTCACAGACAGGTGCAACAACGATCTGTCGTTATTTCAGACAGATAAGGAGCAGATGTCAATGAAGAAGCAGATCCTGGATCAGTTTTCCAATAGAAATATTTTTTTTGGGAGGGGTATTATGGTCAGACGAAGAGGCAGGAGCCTGGTTCCGGCTTCATGTTTTATTTAATTTTAACGAGTTGTTTGTTCTTGGCCTATCAATGAGCCCTGCCCCTGTAAGGGTCTCTGCTGGTCCTGTCCCCTGTGACCTGTGACCCCTGCAGGATCAGCTGTGTTTGGTAGAACCTTGTGGTTTATTGGTTCATGTGAGAACTAAACGGTCCTCTCTGGACCCTGAACGCATCATGCTCCTGAGGACCAATTCACCAGGGAATTCCGGGAATCCCACATGACGCAAACCACTCAGCTTTATTGGTCCGAGGCAAGTGTTTGAGACCCGTAGTATGACGTCACCACACGGTCTCGTGCCCAATCAGAAATGAGAACAAAAATCCGTAGTGAAAGTATTTCAGCAGGCAGGGTCTTCCTCAGACCCGTTCGGAGCTTTCGGCGGAACCAATAATTAATAAAAAATCACAGCCGCTCGTTAATGTTTTCCGTGTGTTCTGGCTCGGTTCTGCATGTGGGGACGAACGAACCGACGCGGGCCCAGTCAGCAGCGGGGAGTTCTGGAGACGGACTCTTCTTTGTCAGAACCGCAGGCGGGTTTCTCAGCTTAACTCGTCAAACAAAAACACTCTTCGATTTTTATCTTCCGAGTCCTCAACGAAGTTATTTTTTATTAAAATCAAAGACAAACGTTTAAATTGGTTCTTCTTGGTCCTCCTGAAGGACGCAGAACCGGAGCCAGCAGGT